CTCTCTTATTAAGGAGGGTACCAGAAAGAAGTTCAAGTATCGACAAATGTTTCAAAGACAACCAATCATATTATATGACCAATTTGAGAGAGAAACAAAGTCATGAAAAGGCTTTCTCCTAAGGAAAAAAGCGAAATTGTAGTCACAGCATATCTGTTCATATAACTACATCAAATTATTGAACCTTTTCCAAGTTTAATTAACTTGTTTCAAGAATTAAAAGACGAAGCAGCCATTTAATGATTTGAAATAGTCATTTCATAGAGAAAAGCTTAGTTGACCTCCTTATGAAAGGTCAATCGAATACACCCATTAAAAAAGTCGCATGATTTTGCTGAAACCAGCCAACCATCGACATTTTAGATTTATAGCAAAAATGGACTAATCTTGGACTTTTCTCGACTGCATCTTTGTCGAAAAAATGATAAAAATTTTACTATCACTCTAATTCATGAAATATGCGAAACAGCAGAAACAGGAGTGAAATGAAGTGAGGGATTTAATCCAAACTTTTTTTTAAAGGGCGTGAAGTTGCGCTTGATGGGAAAAAGTAATTTCGGTGGATGTCAACTGTTCCACGCCATTTCGATGGACACTACTTTTTGCCATATGTGAGATTTTTCCTTCCGCTGCGTCGTTTGGGTTTTCATCCTTTTTTTTTCTTTTTCCGATATTTTATCAACTGATGAAACTTTTTTAGCGCTTTGTTGTTGCTGCTGTTGTCGTCGATGTAGAGGCCTTAACAGATGATGATGTCTGCGATGAAATGCCTTAAAATGCCGTTACACGTCGTTAAAAAAGAAAACAATAGCATGTTAAGCAAATGTTAGAGAATTAAAACATATACCTTAACCTTTACGTCATCAAAAAGTGGATCACGTCGAATATTTACATGATCCGCCGCTTCATCAGGCACAAATTCCGTTATTTCGACTTCATCTACTTGTATTTCCTCCGATGCCAATTTCTTGCTTTTTAACATCCTAATGGTTGTGAAATACTTGCATATCACTCTAAAAAATTAATTGCAGTAATATAGCATCCTTTCTGATTACCGAAATTAAAGCTATGTGCAAATAAAATTTCTACAATATCTAACAGAGAGGATGATGAAATCTAGTAAAATTAAAGCAATGAAGAGAATATAAGCTAACAATGGACAGCGTAAAACAAAAGAGTCTCTGTATCTACACCATGGACAATGACATAATTGTACCTACACAATGGACGATGCCAAAGACTAGCCATACCTCCATGATAACCCCGATAAAGCTTACAAACTCCTCCCCAATCCTTATATATATCCGAAACTGTTCAGTTTTTACAATCGAGCAGACAATACATCCTCTTCGCTTATCCTCCGCGGCTAAATCACAAACAGCGACATCTTCGCATATCCGCCACCGCTGGACAACAGACTACGATATTCCTTCTATTCGCTAAATACATTTCCCGTAACATATCCCCAACTCAACGGCTTATCAACTAACCGACAATCAAATTATTATCGAAGGCAATGACAAGGAACTTGTTAGTTGATCATATCGGTTGCTTATTGTGTAACTCATCACTGCTTATCAATTCATCGTGTAATATATACATATATATCCTACACCTTTTTTCTTGTTAACTAGTAATATTGTGCAAGAACAATATTATATCCTGAATAAATCTATATCGCTGAAAAACGAGTTCAACAGATTGGCTTGCCTGATACACCTAACCCAATAAATAATTATCCATTATCTGCCATCAGAATAGGTTGCCCTTTTAATATCACTACAGCTTTCTTATCATTTGTCCGGGAAAAAACATAGCTTACGGATGACAGAACCAGAAATAAAGAAGCGGTAATATGCAGCAAGTAAAAAACATTCCGCCACTAATCAAATACGTATGCGTTATTGATAAACTTGCTATAGCTTTTGCATGTTCATCCGCTGAAAACATTGTGATGAAAGTGCATAGTGTCATCAGGGAATATAAAAGTACTCATCCATTAACAAAACATTCCATTAAATATTTGAATTGTTCACTTACAACTGCACGATATATCAGTTAATTATAAACGATATCAGATATCACATTTCGAACTAACTACTAGACGATCTACCAGACTTAGATAATGTGAAATGCATAATACAGATATCGCTTATTGAATGTGGTATTTTTTGACTTTCAATGGTAACCATATCAATCGCTCGGAATATCCTTTTTTATATACCGCACCACCTGTGAGATGAGCTTTTTTTTTTGACTAAAATTGATGCAAAACCTTTAACAAGAATTTATTTGTTTTCTGAACTGGTCTAAATCGCTTCATTTTGAACACATCGCAGGTCCCGGCTTTTCATAAAACTTATTTGCAGCACCTCTTATAACAATGGCCTGTTTACGTGAAACTTATTTGCAGCATCCTCTTATAACAATGGCCTGTTTACGTGACGCTTATCTTTTTTTCATACATTTCCAAAATTTCTGATGTCTTCCGAAACCGTAATCAATTACTCACTGAATACAATGCAATTGAAACCAATATTTATTAAATTACGGAAGGGAACAAACCGTTCAAATGAGATTTTACTGCTAAAAATGAGAATAATTGAGAAGTCCCACTCCCACATAAACTTAAATTCGGATGTTTTAAACATGCAAATATGAAACGGTTCGACCACTTCTGGAAGTTAGAAATGATGGGTATCCAAAACCAGCCGAACGGAAACGATGACGAACAAGCCCTTGAGCAATTTAAGAAAAGTATAACGAAATAAGATGGGAGATACCAAGTTTGCTGGCTTGGAAAGACTCGAAAGATAAACTAAAAAGCCATAATGGATATGCTTCGGACGCCTTAAAACCTTGATCGGGAGACTTCAGAACAATGAAGACATACTTCGGCGGTACAACGAAATGATTCAGGATCAACTGCGGTCAGGCAAAATTGGGGGACTTTATCCTGATACGGATCAAGAGGGTGTAATTCATTATCTGCCTCATCATGAGATGATACCCCCCTCCTCCCCCCACAAATCTATAACGAAATTCAAAATAGTCCATGATGCTTCGGTGCATCTCAAGTGAACAAAAAGTTTAAACGAAGCCCTATATCGCGGACCTATCATGCTTCCAGATTTAGTAGGAATACTATTGCCGTTTCGAATGATGGAAAATGTAATCATAGCCGACGTCGAGAAAGCGTTTTTACAATTGGAACTGCATCAATCCGACAGAAACTGTACCAGATTCCTCTGGATAAATGATATCGAACTTGCGGTTACCGAGGAAAACCTGAAATGTTATCGTTTTAGAAGAGTTCCTTTTGGAGTAGTATCATCATCGTTTTTGCTAACAGCAACACTCAATCATCATCTGGAAACAATCGGAAGTCAGACAGCGCTAGAGATCAGGAGGAATTTATATGTGGATAACATTATATTGTCAGCAAATGGAACAAGGGAAGCCATAAATAAATATCACGAAGTGAAGGATATCTTTAAGAAGGCGGCGATAAATATTCATGAATTTCTTTCCAATGACCAAAACTTCAATAAGACAATACCGGGACAAGACAGAATCGAAGGAGGTGCAATAAAAATTCTTGGCATCACTTGGATAAACGATAAAGATACAATCAGAGTAACGTTAAAACCATGGATCGAACATGAACTCACCAAACGAAGTGTCTTGCACTTTGTTGCTTCGCAGTATGATCCTTTGGG